ACGAGTAAGGGCATGAATGGCTAGCATGGTGGAGGGCTTATACTAAAGTGCAACAGAATAGATACGACATGAGTATAATTATAAAAACAGGAAATATGCATGGTAATTGCAAGTTAAGAAAGTAGAAGGTATGAGAAACACAACAACAACTGAGATGGAGATCAATGGTAGAACAATAGCAACAATCACCTCAGATCTATAATTATGACAATAACAGTTCAAGGTAAAGACATGAACATATACACGAAAGACTGATATCAAACATAATGCATGTCCCTCATCCTCGCCTGCATGGAAACACCCATCATGCCATGACCTCACGATAACATACAAGCGTAAAAATATAAATGAAATGGCACGGCATCACCCTTCGTGCTTTTACTCTCAAATAATATGGCACAACATCACCCTTCGTGCTTTTACTCTCAATTTGTGGCACGACATCACCCTTTGTGTTTTTACTCTCAATAATATGGGACGGCATCACCCTTCGTGCTTTACACTCTCCCTCACATGATAAAGTATAAACAATGGCACGACATCACCCTTCGTGTTTTACACTCTTCCTCACATGATAAAGTATAAACAATGGCACGACATCACCCTTCGTGTTTTACACTCTTCCTTACCAAGCATATGTATATCAATGACAAACAACGCATGAAGCATAAATGACATCAAGAGAGTGTTTTAACGGATATTCCAAACAAATCCCAATCACAACCTTCCAAGTCAACAATGATTCAACAACTCTCAAGAACCATATTATTCAAATGCTTCCACAAATTTCATAAATGATCCACAACACAATTATAGAGTCTAGTACCTCAAGAATATCGGCCGTAGTATGTAGTAATAATTTTGCATAGAGATGACCGAATTAGACACATCAATGTATTCTCAAAATTTCCGTCAAGTTTGATCAAGTTATAATAAGCTAAGTCTTGATTTCAATCATTTAATATTATGTTCTTAGCATCTAAGAGTCAAGTAAGGCATGAAGCAAGAGGTCACAAAATTATACAAATATAAATGTAACATAATCCACCACCACCACCCCCCCTCCGAGCATGATTAACCCTGACACATACATATACGCTCGTCACCTCATATATGTATCACCCCCGCATGTGGCAAACAATGACAAATAGAAGGAAAAATTCCCTCAACAAAGTTAGGCAAAACACTTACCTCGATCCGGCTAACTCAACACTCTACTTAGCCTTTTACTCTACAAATTTGCCTCCGCTCGACTCAATCTAGCCAATGGCGACTTGAATACATCACACAATGCAAGAGAAAATAATTTCAATTAATAAAGTTGTGATTTTTATTCAATTTATAAAAAGTCAAACCCCGGGCCCGCCCGGTCAAAACTCGGGTCCAAGGGTAGGTCTTGACTACCCATAGCCTCACGAGTCCAAATATGTATTTTGTTTTCAAATCTGAGTCCTATTCGACTCTCAAATCCTAAATTTTTATTTTTCAAAATTTTGACAAATTCCCAAATTGTTACATAGGTTTCTCATGAATTTGATGTTAAATCTTGTATAAAATCATGAAATATAGTTGTAAATTGATTAAAGATACTTACCCAATGACTTGGTATGAAAATCCCCTCTCAAAATCGCCTCGCGTCGAAGCTAGGGCTCAAAATATATGAAAATGAAGTAAATACTCGAAATTCTCAGCACTTAACAGGTTGCAGATGTCGTATTTGCAACAGAGGGTTCGCAAATGCGAAAAAACTTATCGCAATTGCGAACCTGGAGAATTCCTGTCAAGGTCGCATTTGCGGCAAGAACTTCACAAATGCGAAGTCCAACCTTCGCAAATGCGGCAGTGCTCATCACAAATGCGAATACTGCCCAGCCGCCCAGGCTTCGCAAATGCGATGGCTGCATTTGCGACCAGAACATCGCAAATGCGAAGAAACCAGAACCAACACTCAAAATTTATGAAAAATCATTCCGAAACCAATTCGAAACTCACCAAATATGCACACAAGTCTAAAAACATCATACGAACTCGCTCGCGCGATCAAAACATCAAAATAACCTCTAAAACTACAAATCGGACACCAAAGCGCATGGAGGTCAAACTAAACTTCAAGTACTTCTAGAATCGCAACCGAGCGTCCGAACCACATCAAATCAACTCCGAACGGCGCAAATTTTGCAGACAAGTTCTATATGACAAAACAAACCTACTCAAAGCTTCAAATCACGCATAACAACCCCGAAACGGCGAATCACACCTTAAGTCAAAATCGGTGAACTTTGAAACTTCAACTTCTACAACCGATGCCGAAACCTATCAAATCACGTCCAATTGACATCAAATTTTGCACACAAGTCACATTTGCCATTACAGACCTATTCCAACTCCCGAAATCAGAATCCGACCCCGATATCAAAAAGTTCACTCCCGGTCAAACTTCTTAAAAATCTAATTTTCGCCAATTCAAGACTAATTCGACTACGGACGTCCAAATTACAATCCGGGCACGCTTCTAAGTCCAAAATCATCCAACGGAGCTAACGGAACTGACGGAACTCCATTCCGAGGCCAAATACTAAGAAAACCAAACTTGGTCAATTCTTCGAACTTAGAACTTAAATCTTGAAGTTCATTCTTCCAAATCGATTCCGGATAACTTGAAAACCAACACCAACGATTTACGTAAGTCATAATAAATCATGCGGAGATACTCGAGCCCTCAAAATACTCGAGCGAAGTGCAGATACTCAAAACGACCAGTCGGATTGCTATAGTAAACTTTGCAAAATCTTCAACTAGAAAGCCTAAGAAAATATATAACACTCGAAAGCCTACTTATTTTGAGTTTTTTAAAATACTACTCTATATAACAATAAAACTCTTTACACATCCAATATGTTCTTTAAAACACTATATGAAGTTCTAAAGAAAGTATAAGACATTTTTAAAATAGATGTAGGTATTGGGGTACACGCGCGTCGCGCCCCTTAGCGAATCATTATTCGTCTTTTTATTCTTAAAAAATCAATTTCATACTAGGCAAAATAGTTATTTAATTATTTTTTAATATTTAAGACTTCAAAATTTACTAAATTTTGTTTATTAAATCATTTGTTATTTGGACTATTTAATACAACAAATTTGTAGAAGAAAAATAACACTAAAAAATTCGCCCAATTCCTTTTAGGTAGGAGTCCTTTTTCTCTCACATATTTTACTGTTATAAAATTATAAATGTCTACTAGGTCAATTGAAGTTCATGAATTTCTTGCATGGGTTGATAGAGCATCTCCATGAGTGACAATTTTAACTCCATTTAAAAAAAAACTTAGAGATAAAAAAGGAGGATAAATAAGTAACATTAAAGGGAGGTTATAAATATATAATTGTACAAAAAGTTAATCTTTTAGCAATTCAATTAGATATTTTTAAAAATAAATTTATGAAAAATAATTTTTTTTTACTTAGATAAGTTTAAAACAATTGAGGGGGAACTTAAAGATGAAAATTTTCATCATAGAAAACCTAAGATAAAAGGAATTCCTTTAAACCTATTCAATGTTTGTATATAAAATGGTATTTTCAATATATCAATGATTGAGAACACTTTTATGTAGCGATTTCTTTTCTTATTGACTTATATATATAGAAGTAATACTTTTTATTTTAAAAAACTTCACTTTTATTTATAATTAACATTACAACAAACATAAAGTACAAACGTTCGGATTTTATTACTTGTAATAATAATTTTTGTAGATAAAAGTATAGTTATAATTAAATATTTATATATGCTATGAGCTAATATTAATAATTTAAATCCCAAAATAATAAATTATTTCTTTTAATAATTAAAAAATATAATTAAATATTTGAATAAAAGAAATCAGAATATAAAACAAAATCAATTATAATATTAAAAATTAAATTGGTTAAAATATAAACTTAAGAATTAAGGATGAAATAGTAGAAGACAAAATGTATTCATAAAGAGATTTCAGGTGAGAGAGACACAATTTAACATATTTGTATAACATGTTATGAGATATGTATAATTACAAAATAATGTACAACTAATTTAATTAAATTCATCATCTATGAATATTTAGAAGATATTGAATATAATTATTATGTTAGTGTAAGACAAATTATTTTCATCATTTAAACAAATATTATTTTAACATTACTATATATATTTTTAATTAATAGACACTATAATCACGTGCAACCCAAGTTTACTAAAACTAGTTGAATAATAACGATACCCTTACAATTTATATATTCTTCTCCTATAAAATAAACTTTTATTTTATTATACAAATATTAATATATACACGTTATATTTCACAACAAATTAGACATCCATTAAGAAATAACTTATATATTACAATCTCTATACTACTAATTTAAATATTGTCAATCCGTATTACTAATTTTTACATTGTCAACCCAGATTTTACTAAATACCACATTTTAAGCAAATACATGTTATAAGGTCATTTGTCATGTTAGAGATTCGTATCAATAAAAATAAAGAGAGCCTGTGGTATTAATTTGAGGTGTTTGGCCAAGTTTTTGGAAGGAAAAAAAGTGCTTTTGAGGAGAAGCAGAAGCAGTTTTGGAGAAGCAGAAAAAAGTAGCTTCTCTCCAAAAGCACTTTTTTGAGAAGCACTTTTGAGAAAAAATACACTTAGAAGCAGTTCTTTAAAGCTTGGCCAAACACTAGTTGCTGCTCAGAAGTGCTTTTCAAACAAATTAGCCAAACACAAACTGCTTCTCACCAAAAATACTTTTGAGAAAAGCACTTCTCAAAATAAGCTTGATTTTTGCAGCTTGGCCAGAAGGGCTAAGTGTTGAATCATAGTAGTTCTTATTTATGCAGTTTTTTTTTCTTCTTTTTTTTGCAAAATAAGTACGTAGTATTTTCAATCAAGGGAAGAAAAGGTCAGCTTGTTAAAGGAAAAAGGAAAAGAAAAAGAAAAAAAACGCCCGCGGCTAAATCCAATTAACAACAATCCTCTGCGCCCCTTTGGCTGGAAAAAAAAGAAAAAAGAAAATCAGAGAAACCCCCTTGACTGAAAATCCGGTTTAGACTGTAGTATTGTAAAACCTGAAGAAACCAAAACGGTACATTCTCGTGAAATCAAATCACTAAATCCCTCAAATTGAATTATTTCTCAATGTCGCCTGAGAAGCCCCCAATCGATGTCGTCGAACTCGACAGTAGCGACGACGAAGGCGCCGGCGTCATCGGAAAGAGAAAACCAGACATGCCTCCCGGAGGAAATTCACTGAGTAAATCACCGGTAATAGAAAATCCCAACGCGATTGTTCCATCCAATTACAGGCCACTGGAGTCTCGAAGTTTCTGGAAAGCTGGCAATTTTGAAGTTGGTCGTATCAAATCAACTGCTATACATGGTTCATTTCTCATCTTTTAATTTTTTAGTTTATTTTTTCGCAGTTCAGAGTTTACTTTTGCTGCCAACATGATTGAAATTTATTTTACGTGTAGGTGAATTGGAACATGCGCGTGTTCATCCCAAATTTCTGCATTCCAATGCTACTTCTCATAAATGGGCGTTTGGAGGTATACTTTATTACTGTGTGCTTTTCATTTTCATGTGGCACTGTGATCTTGTTTTAGAAATAAATGAACTTTGGATTGTTTTGGGTTTGATAGAAGTGCATACTACCAATCTTATTAGTCATAGTCTTATGGTGGTGGAAGATAGTTAATTAATAAGTACGTTTCACAACTTTCACTGTGGATTCATTTTGCTCTTGCTATTGTACGACCACTGATACTTTGAATGTCATTGCAGCAATAGCCGAGCTTTTGGATAATGCTGTTGACGAGGTATTTACTGTAATGTTGATTACTTTTGTTGTATTGTGTTCTATGCGGTGAAATAGAAGTTCAGGCTTTCTACTTATAATTTATCGATTCTGCTTGAAGTCTGGTTTCTGTTGAAACTACAGCATTGTCGCCCCATATGTCTTTAAGAGTTCTGCTATATTTTGTTGCTTTGGTTAACTTACCTCACACACTTGCTTTCTCCCACCAGAAGCCATCACCTTTTCCTCATTGTCGTCCGACGGACTTTCCTTCAATTAGAAACCTATTGTCACAGAATCATGTCATTTCCTCCATGTTGAGCACAATCTAACCAAAATCTTACCAAGTTGTTTCATTTTAAGCTTTCTTTCCCATGTCTGCCAATAATATCCTCATAAAAAAAGTTAGTCGTGGTACTACAGAGGATTTAGGCATTTTTGAATTGGTTTCTGGCGAGAAGAATAGCTTTGAATTGCTCTTACGGGCCATTGCCTTTTTGAATTAATTGTTGTTAAAGTTGAGATGTTCATCGTTGGATTGGTAGACATCACTATTCGCAAGAGAACCATTGTCTTTTTATTCCTATTGATTTCATTTGACTTCTTGTTGTCTAAGGTGGCCCTCAGACGTAATTGTGGTATTCAAAGGTTAAATATCCTAAGAGGTTTTGCAACTAAAATGTGGTTCTTTTGTCTAAGTTTCTTTGCAGAGGTAGACATGAGGCCTCACAAGACATCTTCTTAGCAAAGAGCTTGTTGGGGGCCCCCCGTGAAAGTTTGATTGGGTCTTGTAGTGAATCTTGTTTCTAACAACTTTCTAATTTAACATAGCATCAAGCAATCAGAACCAAAAGGCCGCAAGTTTACCCTTCTTTCTCTCCCCCTTCTTCTGTGCTGAGTAGGTAACAGAAGCTCCATTTTAGTAAGAACTTTAGGTTAGACACCTGTTGGTTTGGATACCTCACAACTTTATTAACTTTCTTACCTTCGTGTGTTTCATTTCCTCTTTTTTCGTTTTGGATGGAAATTCAATTATTTTGAGACTTGAACGTCTTAAATATAGTTCTCACTAACCTTTGGTTTCTTCAATTAGACTTTCTAATACTCAAGGTCATCGCATTTGGCTCCTAATGTTTTGTGATTTTCAGTTGTAAATATTTATTTTTCTCATTTGTTGTTTGTTCTAGCAAATGTGCCCGAGAGTACTAAGGCACATTTTCTTGATGAGGAAGAGCAGCGAGACACATCCTCATTTCTCTATATTATTATTTTGCAAAAAATTAGAGGCTGCAATTGTTTAATTAATCTAAGTAATTGTTTGCTATTCCCTCTTCATTTTATATTTTTTACTCATGAAAGAGTGGTTCTTCAATTTATGGTGTCCTCTGTAAATAGAAGGGGTAATGCCAGGCAGTGTGAAGGAGTTAATTTTCAGCTGGAGTGGTGGAAAATGAAAGAGAAGGCGTAGGGCATGGGATGTGGTCTTCTCGCACTAATGTGGGTCTTTTGGAGAGAAAAATAGGAGAGCTTATGAGGGTGTAGAAATGAATTTTATACAGTTTTGGAGTAGTTCTTATCCCTTATACCATTTTGGTGTACTCATTAGATTCCTTTGTCTATTGAAGAGCGGGTTTTGTTTGTAGAAAAACCATATGTTTTTGTAGGTTTTCTACTTTTTGATATACTACTCGTATACGGGCTTCTTTTTGCCCCTTCATTAAATTTTATTACCTTATAAAAAAAGAACATTCTTATGTTGATTTTTTAAATAAATTATGTGATTAACTATCCTCCGTTGTTCAAGACTAAAGATTCTTCGGATTTTCTGCTCACAGCTTCTCCCCTTTTTTTGGACCTACAATAGAAATTGTTCTGTTAGTTCTACCTAAGTTGTTGTGTCAGTTGCATTAGGGAAAAAAGGCCTAGATATTTTGATGAGCTTTCTTCTTCATTATGGGCATGCAGACAACATAGCTGACAATTTTAGCTCTTTCAACCTGAACCGATCACCACTTTTGATCTTTAGTCCTGTGAGAAGTTTCCTTCTACAGAAGCTTATACGCTGGCAAACTCATATCATTTAACTGAGAGCCACCATTTCCCAGCCTTCAACATCGAAAGTCATATGATTTATGTGGACGAAAATCTTTCTCCACCATGCCGACTTATAAAAAAATCTCTGGCTATGCTGCTTGCACTGGTAGATTCTGTACTTTCACTTTCATGTGTCTTCTTGTTAAGCAATTTAGATAATGTGGTGAAGGGAAAATCAAGATTGTATGTTGAAACCAGTCTCTCTTGCACTCGCATAAATTTTCTTTTGTCCAATGGCCATTTTTCTTCTTTGTCTTAATCTGCATACTTTTTTTGATAAGATTTTTATCTGCATACTAGATAAGCAGTGGGGCAACTTTCGTGAAAGTTGACAGAATTTATAACCCAAGGGACAACTCTCCTGCATTGCTCTTCCAGGGTGTGGTATTGCTGTTATTTTCATCACTATCATACTACACTTTTTACCTTGTTACAATTGCCATAACATATACTATATAATCTGAGCAGACGATGGGGGTGGTATGGATCCAGAACGTCTTCGCAAATGCATGAGCCTGGGTTATTCTTCAAAAACATCAAACTCAACAATTGGACAATGTAAGCATCTAGAGTTTCAAATAATTGGATTAGGTGTATTAATTTGTATTACTGGCATAATCTGTTTTTGTGCTCCGTTGGTGCTTGGGAATCACTTATACTTCTGTGAGGTTTTGAGGCATTTTATGCTGCTTGACTTTTTCTTTTTGATGAATATGCTACTTGATATTTTGAAAGCTAATTTTTTTTCTTTGGTCTTTTCCTGGAGTTTAGATGGTAATGGATTTAAGACGAGTACCATGAGGTTAGGCGCTGATGTAATTGTTTTCAGCCGTTCATCTCAGTCAGGGTATCTCTCTCTCTCTCTCTCTCTCTCTCTCTCTCTCTCTCTCTCTCTCTCTGGTAGTTATGGAACCTGAGGGTCCTTATCACATTGATTTCAATAAAGAATTTTTAGGAGTTGTTTTATGAATCACCAACTCTCAAGGTTTATATTATGTCCCTCTAAGAAAACATAGCTTATTATATAATCTATCTATTTCTATATTATTATAAAAGTGGGAAGCCCCTAAACTGAAAAGTTGAATTACCATAATATCCTTCTTACTGATTTAAATATCCCATTTGTTAAAATATAAATAAATAATCAAGTTTTTTTGAAGGGGTGTAACCCTTTAGATTAGTAACTAACTATTCCTATGTTCTATTTGGTTCTCAAGCGTTGCTACTCTTGGTTGGTTTTTGTTAAATGGGAACAGAATATAAAAGGCTATCTTAACCCTTGCAAGCAAAAGATTGATCCCTTAATTGAGAAACGGAACAACAAAATTGACACGAGTCCAGCTGCTGTGATAATACCAAAAGTCAAAGCACTTTACTGAATACTCATTTTTAAATAATGATACAACAATATCGCCCGATGTTTCATGATGCAATTACCACACCTTGTTGTGGCTTCAAAACCAATTCAGAAACGTTACCTTGCAGTGTTTTATTTCAACGAGAAATCGCTGCGAGACTCCATCTTTAGCTTGTAATTTTAGTAGACTTTCAATCTAATGAACTTTTGGATTCAGATTTTAAATTTTGCATGGACTACTTGTTTGGTCTGAATAATGCATCTCTTCATGAGGTGACACATATGTATGGAATGAATTCGGAAAGTTTAGGATTGACATATTTGTTAATGTTATGATTAACTTTGTATTCCATCGCTAACTTGAATTCCACTAATTGACATATAGTATGGTTACATGTATATTATATGAAAGTTTACTTTTAAGTCAAGGGATGATATGAAGTATTTTATTTGAAAGGATCATATATGTACTCAAAAGTTGTACCATCTTGAGATCATGAGAATAAATAATATTTACATTTAGATATTGTATAAAGAGTTTGATGATTTTAATGAATTTTATGTCTTTTGAGATAAGCATAATAGATTAATATATTATGCTTAATTATATTATATGATTTTGAGTTTTCATATGTTTTATGGAAAAGGCTATTCCTCTGATGACAGGGTGCCTTTTGTAGAGAACTATTTTTATTGTTGTGTAGTTTCTCTATTTGCTGGTATCTCAGATGATTCCTCCCCGGGGGGTAGGGGGGTGGGGGGTTCCTACAACATCAATACTCTGAATTTTGAAGTGCTGGAACAAGCTTATTATTATCGTTTTGCTTTTGGATAACTAGTCTTAGGCTACGCGCAACCCTACAGTGCGTATATATTTTCTTAAAATATTAAGTAATATATATGTGTGACGTAAAATAAAGATTAAAGAAAATATTTAAATCTCTGAATATGAAGAAGGTTAATAATATTTAACTAACTAAACAAAGAATTGTAATTACTTTTTATTCTATGTTTAGTCGATTGTTTTAAATAAAGTGTATCTTCGATGACATGGAATTGGAGAAACGTAATGTAATTTACTTTTTATTGTACGTTTAGTCAATTGTTTTCTAAATAAAATAGTACTCCCTTAAAAATAATATTCGTAAAATTTCTTACAAAATAAGAAAAGGTAAAAAAGAAAACATTCTTAGAGTTCTTAGCATAAACAATAAAAGAAAATATGCATCTAATAAAGACTCATGTTATCTGGTTATTTCGTGTATGAACATCTAACATTTAAAGGTTTTATTATACTGCCTAACAAAGAGAAATTTAAATTTAAGGAAGCTCCTAAATATTAGGCCAAGTATATTAATGAGAATTAATTTTAAAATTCTAAATAATAGGAAGGTAATCTAAATTATAATTTTATCCAATATAAACTCTATTTTCAAAAGGTAAAAAGGGCGAACGACATTTCGCTAAGGGGCTTCGTGCTTTTAATATAGTATAGATAGTGGTGATCGATCAAGCTTGCAGACACACCTCGTCTAATTTGGCGGATAAGTGCTACTTTCACCAGTACACCTATCCGGTAACTTTGCCTATTTAGACTTAGGCAAATAAGAAGAGTTCACCTAGTGCTGCTTCTGTTGGGACTCGAACTTTGGTTTCCAAGGTGGTTACTCCAATTTTTTTATCGCTAGGCTGCCCCCAGGGTCGAACAAGCTTATATTTGAACAGATATTAATTCTTGTCTAGAATGAATCCTAGTGAGTTCTACAACAACAACAACAACAACCTAGTAAAATCCCAGTGAGTTCTAGAAATATAAAAAAGAAAGGGACTCAGAAGGTGATGGATGGGCATTTGTTTGCATTATGCTGCTTGATATGCAGCAGCATACTATTTCTGAAACTTACTGCTCACTAGTATTACCAAACTGTTAGTTATGTTTGCTAGAATTGATATTGTGCTTGATAATCTAATTTGATATTTTCTGCCCTTTTATGGTCTAGCCGAGCAACTCAAAGTATTGGTCTTCTGTCCTATACATTTCTTCGGAGAACAGGGCAAGATGATGTGATTGTTCCAATGGTAAATATTCTTTAAAATCTGTTGAGTTTTGTAATATTTGGCACTTGAAGCTTGTAATTTGTTATTGAACATGAACATCTATTCTTATTCTTTCTCCTTTTAATTGAAAATTGATGCAGATCGATTTTGATATCTCCGACCATTGGGCTGAACCAATACTATGTGGCTCTCAAGATGATTGGTCAACTAACTTGAAAACAATCCTTGAGTGGTCCCCTTTTGCAACAAAGATGGATCTTATGCAACAGGTTGGTTGGATAATTGGTGCAGATACTATAAAGCTACACTTTTATTTTATAAATTTGTTTTGTGTGAAAAACGTTTTAGAAAGTTACTTTATAGATTCAACTCTTTGTTGCAGACTCAGAGCTTCGACGTGTTATCTGAAGTTCTTTTTTATGAGAAGATGCCATGATCAAAAACAATCAAATATTAAAATATGCATTTATGTTAACTCATTAAGCATATCAAGACAAACCCATGAAACTTTGAGCGAATATGTACTTCCTTTTTCTCAAATTTAGATACACAGTTTTCCGGG